TTCTCACAGAATCCTACTATGTAGCCCTGGTCTGGAACTCACTATGTGCACTAGGCAGGCCTTGAATTCACAGAGGTATACCTGACTCTGTCTCTATCTGTCAGTGCTGGGACTAAAGATGCATGCCACCATACCTGGCTGCAGTTTACCTCTTTAAGGAAATAGCTAAGGCCATCTAGAATTATTTACATTTTAGCATTGTCCTTGCAGGTTTTGTGTGGCCACAATATAATTTTCAGCTTTTATCCACTCTTGTATAGATCATTGGTTTCTTGAACACTATCATTTATCTTTTCACTTTAAAAGCTATTTATTTTTATTTTTGAAATTGTGTGTGTGTGTGTGTGTGTGTGTGTGCCTGAAGAAGGTATCTGATTGCCTGGAGCTGGAGTTGCAGGCAGTCATGAGCCACCCGATGTGGGTGATAGGAACTGTACTTGGGTCCTTTTCAAGAGCAGTAAAGATGCTGAGCCATTTCTCCGGCTCTCTCTTTTCACTTTTATTGGTAATCCCTGTGTAGCATTTTCAGTGTGCTGCTGAAAAGCATGTAACTAAAGACCACAATATCCATGGTTGCTGGTTATTGAAACCCTTATGTTTGGAGACCTATTTAAGGTAAGGTAGAAGCAGCCCTTCTTGAGAACTTCCCCTCAAAAGTGCATGCGGAAGGTACCTCTCATGATCATCCCATGCTGGGGTGAGGAGAGACAGAAGTAGAGATAAAGCAAGCATTGAATCGATACTGGGTAGCAGATTCTGTCAGAAGGGTCAATGGACAGAACGCCGGCACAGCGGATGAGATACCACCAAGGACTTCTGTGGTTCAGGCAGGGGCCACATGCTGAGGAAGCAGAGAAGCTGTCAGCTACTAGGTGACGGACAATGAGATCCCTAATGCTCTCGACTGCCTAATCACAGTTTTCTTGGCAGATCCCTTAAGGAACGATTCGTGAGAATATATTTCTGAAATAATGGAAATTTTTATATATTTTTTATGTTCTTATGACATTCTTTGTGATGGTAGAAATGACTTCTCACATATACTTGAGATCGCTCAAGAGACAGGAATCATATCAGAATGGACAGTTGCATGTGATGATATTCTTTTTGTTGTTGTTGTTGTCGTTTGGGGGGAAGAAGGGGTCAGAACAGGAAAGAGGGAATCAGCAATGGAGGAAAGAGAGTGAACCATGAGCTCATGGAGGTGCACTTTAGGCTGTGGGGCCTTTTGATTGACTTACTTTGTGTGGCACCCCCCCCCCCAAAGCAATGAGTTACCTTTGCTGTGCGCATTGCTGTTTAAACCACTGCTACAGGCAGCAGCAGCTCCGGGATTGAGGTGCTTTGTAATGATATTCTTATAACGAATTTCCCCCTCTGCAGAATTTCCCACGTCCTGCTTTGCAATGTAACCCAGAGGGTGTCATTCTGGTTTGTGGTCACAGACCCTTCAAGAAATCATACTCTCCCGGCTGTTGAAGTGCAGTCGGCCATAAGGTAATCAACCTCATATATGTTGTCTCATGATCAATCAAATCACTAAGTAATGCAACTGTTTTCGTAGGCACTGAGGAGATCTCATTCTGCTCCACCCATAATATATTGATTAAAGTGTCAAGCGTTTCATTCAGATCATTTCTGTCAGAGATGAGTGTAGATCACTGATTTTCCTCCAGGAGCAATTTGCCTTCAGGGAAATATTTGGCACTGTTTGGACACATTTTTCTTGTCCCAACTGGGGGAGGAGGTGCCGCCCACACAGAACAGGCAGAAGCTAGGAATGTTGCTATACATCCTGCTGTGCACAGGATGTCACCACCCACTAAGAACTGTAGGACCTCAAGTGTCAGTTGTGCTGTGGTTTAGAAACCCTGGTCTAAACAGTAATGAAGAATGAGTGAAGATCCAAGTCTAAGTGTGCTACTGCCATATCTATGGTGATTTTAGAAGGGAATTAAATTTTATTAGCGTATATTAATTATTCAAAGTAAAGGGTTTCACTGAACATTTTCATACATGTATATTGTGCTGGATAGCTTTAGTGTCAACTTGACACACCTGGGTTGAGGGAGCCTCAATTGGGGACTTGCCTCTATTGGACTGGACTGTGGCCATGTCTGAGGGGCATCTTCTTGATGAGTGATGTGGGAGGGCCCAGCTCACTGTGGGTGGTGCCACCCCTGGGCAGGTGGGCCTGTGTTGCATAAGAAAGAAGGCTGAGCAGGGCCCAGGGAGCAAGCCAGTAAGCAGCATTCCTACATGGCCTGTGCTCCAGCTCCTGCTTCCAGGTTCCTGCCCTGAGTTCCTACCTTGGGCTCCCTGATGAACTGCGACCTGGGAGATGTAAGCTGAATAAACCCTTTCCTCCCCAAGTTGGTATTGGTCAGAGTGTTCTGTCACAGCAATGAAGAACAAACTAGGACATATATGATTTACTATGATCATATTTACCGCATCTGTTATTGTTTTCACAGTGATCTTTTAATCTGTAGTAGAGTGTTCACACCTATGGAATGCGGTGCATGTATGAACAACCAGTGCTAAAGTGTCTATTAGAACTTTTTTTGTGTAGATCTGGCCTGACTAAACTCCAGTCTTGGCTAAAAGATATGCAGGGTGTCTGATATCTAGGGAGGATTCCAGTAGTGGAGGAGATTTATCTGAACCAGAACTAGAACTACCAGTTTACCTGAGAGGTGACAGAGTACATTTCCAGTTTTGAGTTACAAAGTGGCAAAGTATTAATAAAGCAGGTAGACAGAATGAGGATGCAGAACATTTCATTTTCCCTCTAGTTATAGCTCAGCAATAAGGTTCATTGTTTTGGGAAAAGGTTTCATTCTCATAGTTTATCAAGATTAGATTATGAGGACTGAGGGGATGGTTCAGTGGGTAAAGTGCTTGCCATCACGTGTGAGGACCTGAATTCGGTGCTCTAGAACCCATGTGAAGCCAGAGAGGTAGCACATGTGTGATCCTAGTACTCCCACAGTGAGATGGCAGGCAGAGACAGGGGAATCTAGGGAAGCTCACCAGCTAGACTGTCATATACAGTGGTGTGCAGCAAAGAGACCATTTCACATAAGATGGAAGGCAAAGACTGACCTCTGACTTCCATGTGCATGCACATTCCCAATCTCTCTGTTCTCTCTCTCTCTCTCTCTCTCTCTCTCTCTCTCCCACACACACACACACATACACACACACAAAGATTTTAAAAGCTTAGATTAGGAAAACAGGAAAACATTCTATAGTTTGATACAATTACATTTAAACTGCCCTTTGCTATAAATTATTCGACTGGGGTTCTTGTTTACATCTATGAATGATCATGCCAGAGGATAGATTTGTGTGTGTATATGGTACTGAATATTGAACTCAGGGCTTTGCACATGCTAAGCTGTGATGTACCACTGAACAACATCACCAGCTCTCAGCATAGATTTTTATTTGCTGATGGGGATCTTCCCTAATGGCCTGATTTTGGTCTGCAAAGATCCTCAAGCCATTGCTTTAGATTAGAGCTGTTCAATTCTGACACTGTCAGTCACAAGTGAAACAAAGTGCTTCAATTGTGGCTAGTCCAAAATGAGGCACACACTAAGGGGTCAATCATAACAAAACAAAATACGAACCAACTCAATATTGATGTGTTGAAATTATGCTTTCTTGGCTATATGGGAAAGTACAGTATTAAAATTGTTTGCCTGTTTCTTTATACTTGAGAAATTACAGCTACTAGGAAATTTTATTTTTTATTTTAAAATTGTAATAGAATTTTTGCGATTTTCACACAATATAGTTTGAAGGCATTTAGATCCCCTCCACTATCTGCATTTTCACCCACTGCCCCAGTTTAATGTACACATATATATACATATAACACAGCCTATCACCTATAGAGTCTGATTTGTGTCCCCAAGTGTCCTTTAGTGTGGGTTCACCCACTGGGCCCACCAAGAGTCCCATCCTGTAAGACACTGTCTTTCCCTCTCCAGGCAGTCATCAATTGCCAAAAGTTCCTGAGGTTGGGTTGGAATTTCTTACCCACTTCCCCATGTCTATGTTGCGATTTTGTCTGGTTTGAACTTGGTCTTCTGCATGCTGTGATCATTGCTGTAAGTTCATATGAGTAAATGACTAGCTGTCTGGAAGACGCTGTCTCTGTGAGGTTGTCCACCCCCTCTGGCTCTTACAATCCTTCCACCTCCTCTTCTGAAATGATCCCTGAGCCTTGGGAGGCAGAGGTGTGAAGTCATACAAAGCTCACATTATATTTTCCTATTCTCAGGGACACTATATGTAGATGAAGTCAGCTTGTACAATATCAATTCAGTAAAGGCCAAAAAAAAAAATGGCTCCAAAGAATCTCTTTACCTAGTTTTTACCTAGTTTGCAAATTCTAGATAAAAATTAACTTTTTTTTCAGTTAAATAAATCTTCATTACCAAACAACCCCTCCTCTCCTAACTGCTACCACCACTCAAAATGTAGATTTTGAGGGGGGTGGGGAGAAGCACATTCACCTTTATTGCTCTAGACTTTGGGACTCCTGAGCCACTGTTGTGTGTGGCTACATAGAAGCACTTTTAAAATATATAATTTAATTGAAAGAAACTGTTGGTAATTCTAAAAATTTTATTTTAAACATATGAATAGTTTGTTGGTTTGACTGTGTGCACCATGTGCATGCAGTGCCCACAGAGGCCAGAAGATGGTGTCAGATTCACTGAGACTGGAGTTCCATGTAGTTGTGACACACAGTGTGTGTGCTGGGAGCCACACCTTGGTCGTCTGCTAGAACAGCAAGTAATTTTAATTGCTGATCCATCTCTCCAGGCCCAAACTGTTAGTATTTATGTAAGCCACCTTAGAGTTCTACTATTCATTCTAATCTAGATGATATAGCTCAAGAAATAAAACATAGAGGGTAGGGTTTAAGGCTCATGACCTACATTCATAGAGAGATGGGTTTGTACTTTGTTTCTAATGTTTTTAGTTTGTACTTTGTTTCTAATGTTTTTATTTTTTTGTCTTACTTCATTAAAAAAATTATCATTGTCTTTTAGAATGAATAGGAACCGGATCAACAATGCATTCTTTTTGAATGATCGTACCCTGGAATTTTTAAGAATTCCTTCTACTCTTGCACCACCCATGGATCCATCTGTGCCCATCTGGATTATTGTATTTGGTGTGATATTTTGCATTGTCATAGTTGCAACTGCACTACTGGTTTTATCAGGAATTCGGCACCGTAGAAGGTAAGATGTTTAGAGGGAATGATTGAAGGAACTCAGGTCAGGAAACTTGAGGCAGGAACCTGGAGACAGGAACCTTCGAAGAATGTTGCCTTCTGGCTCACTCATAGGTTTACACTGAACTTGTTTTCTTATAAAACCCAAGCCCAACTGCCTAAGGAATGATATCTCCCACAGTGGGCTGGACCCTCCTCCTACATCAATTAATAATTATGACAGTCCCTCACAGATATACACACATACACACCAATCTCTTAAAGGAAAGTCCTCAAATGAGGCTTCTCTCAAGATAATTTTAGGCTATGACAAGTTGACAATTAAAGCTAAGCAGGAAAATCTGTGTTGTGATTTGTAAGTTAGCTACACAGAGAAATGTACATTTTGGGGGGTAGGTAGAGTTAATCTTTTGGTAGTAATCCAAGTGCAAATGCCATAGTTCTACATACAGATCGTTCAGTGCTTCCCCACCTTTAGTTGACCCAGAACCTCTAGGCCACCATTTTGTTCCAATGTTCCTTTCTATTAATGGATGTACATCCCTCTTGTGCCTGTAATGTAATGAGCTATGTTGCCTGTGACTTTAGAATCAACTCCCTGCATCAAAATCATCTGGAACACTTATTTAAAGTTTCATTTCCTTGTCTGTCCCCCAGACTCACCAAACTAGAGTGTCTGAAGGGCATGCATTTTTATATTACCCAGGTTGTTCTAATTCATTTACCTTAAGAGCTATTGTTTTAACAGCTTACACATAGAATCCCATTTCTCAAGTTCATTTACTTGGATGCTGTGACACAAAATTTCATATCCATGTTATTGATATTGCTTCAAAAGGGAATTTCAGACTAGTGGGAGAGTTACTGGGGCAGCAGCAAAGAGAGGAGGTAGGATTCCTCAGCATGATGGAAGGAGAAGGCATTTTGCTTACAAGCACCTCTAATTCAGAGAGGAAAGTGGACACTCCCTTAATTCTTCATTAAACACTTCGATGCTTGTAAACCTTTTTTCTGATGCAGAGGAAGAAAATTCTGTGAGATTCAGAGGGTCATGCATTTGAAATTCACAGGAATATGGTTTGCAGAAGAATTGGTACCCAACTGGGACATGTGGGATGTGTTTGTCCAACAATGTGTTGAATCGAATGTTTCTCACATTTACTACTTTTCATGTGTTTTCCCCTAGTTACTAACAGACACAAGCATTTTAAGACTAAGGTATTGTCAATTATTTTCACAAATGATAAGAGAAACACTAGGGAATAAATGTGATCTATGCCTATGCTTCAAATTAAAACCAGAGTTTAGGATCAGGTGGTACTTACTTGACTTTTTTGCTGATCTTGACATGACATGTAATATCAAGAGATTTATTCCAGGTTATGTGTTTTATTTTGGTTTTTAGAATACTAAGACATTCTCTTGCAACATTTGAATACATATGTTCAATATTTTAAAGTTTTGTGTTAAATATGAAATGGTATGATACTATGGTATCAAATGCTTAGAAACCCTTGTGAATTGACATCATTTGCTTGGTTCCCAATTTCCTCACTAGTACAACAGAATGTAGGAGTTAAAAGAATGGATTCAGGCGACAAATGGCTTAGATTCAAAGTATTGATCTCCTAAATCATGCAGTATAAACCATTAGCAGTATGCAAGTACAAACAATGAGACAGGGAAACCAAGTTTGAGAGAATATTGCTTTGTGGTACTAGAGTCATGATGGCTGAATTTACCATTGCTATCTGTGTGTAGATAACTTTTCTCCAGTGATAAGCTTGGTGTACTGGAAATAATTAACTTGATAGGATAGAAGAGTCAGTACAGGAGAGTGCTTAGAGTGGTGCCTGGAACACAGTGATTCTTCAGTAAGTATTAGATGTTACTATTATTTTATTTTCTTGCCATTTGCTGGTCTTTCAGCTAGTTTGTGATGGGATCAACTATTTCCTTCTAAACAGATTTTGCAGTACTATAATAATTGGCCGCATAGGATTATAATCTGTTGCCTGGGAGAAATGAGGCTGTTGTTCCAACTCTGCCTTCACAAATACATTTCACATCCAAACTAGGAAAACAGATGGACAAATCTTTTGTGTAAACCTGGAAAGCATCAATAATTGGCAAATATAGTCAGGGCAATCATGATAACATCCTGGAGATAAACTGTTTGTGTTTTAAGTTTGGTACAATCTGTGGCATTTTTTTTCTTAGGCAAAATATTGCTTCAAAGATGAGGAGAAGGTGCAGTTTGAAGTTGGGAGAACCTTCGTAATTTGGTTACTGTGATGAAAACCCTGTCCATTCTTTTAAGACAGGGTTTCATGTAGCCTAGACTGGCCTGGAACTCATTATGTAGCTGAGGATGAATTTGAACTCGGGATCCTCCTGCCTTTGCCTACCAAATACAAAGATTATCGGTGTGTCTCACTATGCCTGCCCTGAAAACCCTTTATAATCATAGAAAAGTTAGGGGTTGCCTTTTCAGCCTCTAGTCTTGTGGAAGACAACTAAAGAAACGTTTAACTTGGGACAGCAAGATGACTCAGAAGTTAAAGACACTTGCTGCCAAACCTGATGACCTGAGTTTGATCCCTAGTAGCCACATGATGGAAGATCTGCTGGATGGGTAAAGGTGGGGTGAGCTGGAATCCAAACTAGGTAAACTGAAATGCCAACTATTCCATTTACAGCAAGGGAAAAACAACGTTAAATTTTCTCATTTTATGTACACTTTCATTTTTATTTTATTTATTTTTTTGAGACAAAGTCTCACTATGTACCATGGCTGGCCCAGAACTCACTGTGTAGACCAGGCTGATTTCGAACTCACAGATATTCAACTACCTCTGTTTGCTGAGTGCTTGGAGTAAAGGTGTGCATCACCTTATCTGGCCCTGTTCTTTTATTTTTAATACAATTTATTCACTTAAGAATTCATAAGAATGTGACATTTCAATATGTGGAAGTATTAGATGAACTACATGTTTGTTTGAAAGAGAAGATTTGTGGAAATTCAAATATGCTTCTATTTACTACTGGCCCTACAGGAAAATAATAGCTAGAAATAAATGAAGTAAATTTACTAATGACTTTGCTCAAGTATGAACATTAGTGTGCTGGATAGCTTTAGTTGTCAACTTGACAAACCTGGGTGGAGGGAATCTCACTTGAGGAATTGTTTCTATTGAATTGGCCTGTGGCCATGTCTGTGGAGCATTTTCTGGATTGCTGAGTGATGTGGGAGGACCCAGCCTACTGTGATTGGTGCCACCCCTGGGCAGGTGATCTTGTGTTATATAAGAAAGCGGGCTAAGCACAGGCCAGGGGAGCAAGCCAGTTAGCAGCATTCCTTCATGGTCTGTGCTTCAGCTACTGCCTCTCTAAGTTTCAGCCCTGAGTTCCTACACTGACTCCCTGGAAGATGAACTGTGACCTGGAAGATGTGGGATAAAATAAACCCTTTCTTCCTCAAATTGGTGTTGGTCAGAGTGGTTTGCCACAATTGAAAGCAAAGTAAGACAGCTAGGTTTTATGCTTTAAGTCTGTAACCTGGCTTTATTACTAAGAACAAGACTATGATCTCTATGGAGGCAAGGACTGTCCATGTGTTTGTGTCTTCTTTGATCAGCACTATAGCTCCTATCACAGAATGAATGATCAATAAGGAAATAAAAGATACATGTACAATAGGAAACCAGTGTGTGTTTTGGGTGAGGTCTGGGTAGAGTAAAATACAGTTCTAGGACAGCTTCTTTCACAAATCCTTTTCCATTCTGAAAGATAAGTTGCTGTACATGTTTAGAACTCAGTTTTCATCATCTTAAAAATAATAATAATGATAAAATTTGCATAATATTGTAGTAAGAAATAAGATGATTCATAGAACATATCTAGTTTGAGTCATGCCACATAAGAGTCTTATCACCATTATTATTCTTATTATACGGCCAATATAAAACAGCTGGCCTACTGTGTCACATGGGGTTAGAAAGTTGCCAGGAGTTCAAACCAGATAGGCTTCCCAAACACTGTTGACCCCACTATGCAGCAGTGCCTTCTCCAGTCATTCTAGTAAAACTGAACGAATTATTTAGACTGATTGTGAGGATTATCCCAATTGCCCGATATTTAATTCTCTCCTGCTTGAAAAACATATTTGGGGCTGGAGAGATGGGTCACCAGTTAAGAGCACTGGATGCTCTTGTAGAGGACCTGGGTTCAGTTCCCAGCACCCATATGGCAATTAATAACCATCTATAACTCCAGTTCCAAGAGATCCAATACCTTCTTCTGGCCTCTGTGGGCATTACACAACATGAGTGCACATATATACATTCAGGCAAAACACTCATACACATAAAATATAAATAAATCAGAAAAAGAAAACATATTTAATGTATCTTTTATTGTTTTTCTGGCTATTCTTGGGATTTAGCTCTTGGGCCCTACTTTGTTTGAAGAGAGACTTAAATACTCTTTCTTCTTTTAGTCATTAATTTATCCAGAACAGAGCAAATCCTGGTCTACTACATGCTGTAGCTTCAAGGGCTCCTGAGATTTTCTTCTGTCCTTCCTTTTACCTCCCTTCTCTCTGAATCTATGGGAGCTATCCATTCTCAACGCTTCTAGGAGGTAGTTTAGTTAGTTAAATTTCTCGTACTCTTCCTTGATCACCTGACATTACAGGGACAGTAGAAGTCATTAACACTCAATTTTATTTTTCAGGAAAAGAACTCATGTTTTTAGTGGAACATTAAATCAGAATGATCCAGAAAGACAGTTAAGTTTTATTATCCTTAGTAAGAGCAGCACACGGGTGCTGAATCAGTTTATTACAGCACACACTATGAAATGTGACAAAGTGCTATAAAACTGTTAGATAACCTTTGAGCTGCTTATCATGTCTACCAGCTAGAGATTTACTGACTCTGCAGTTTGTGAACCCCAGCAGTGCCAAGACTTTGGACAACTAGACCTAAGGTGACAACAAACAATATGTATATAATTTGCCACCAACATAGCTCAATTTGATACTTTTCCACAGATATTTTCCCTCAGAGCCTTTTTGTTTAGGAAGTTATCTTTCTTTGAGAGAAGAGAAATTTGCCTTCTTCTGTTTGTATCTTTTTTCAGTTCTTCCCCATTCATTGTGATGCATGGTGGATTATTCTTCCTTTGTGACTGGGGAGGGGGAGGTGAGATTCATTGCATTGATCTTCACATGTCCATCTTTCCACCATTATTCTTCTAACTCCATAAAACTGTGTTTTACCAAAGAAAACTGGAATATAGACACTGGTCGTTTTACAGACAACCCTCACATTGCTATATGTATTGCAGACATAATCTGTACTAAAGACTTTTACCTAACCTTGTAACTAAAAAGTTACTATTTATAATGTAAATAAGATCACTGAACCAAGTGCTTTTCTTGTGACCCGGGCATATGACCTTAATCTCTCAGTACCCCTTCTTGCTCTCCACCCAAGATAATGAATGACTATATGCATGAATGCTTTAAATATCAGTGCAGTGAAAGGAGCATGTTTATTTCAGTGAAAACAATGAAAAAATGGAGAAGTCTATTTGCAGTTCTGTATGTGTGTGATATTTTATACCTAAGATTAAAGGGCAAGATTCTCTGATAAAATAAGGAGGTGCCCTGACTTCTACTTCCCCATTTCATGCTGGAGAGGCTGTTTCAATAAGAGAATGAGAGAAGCCTGACTTGGGAGCACAGTTCTGAGAGAAATGTGAAGGAACAGCTTTGCAGAGTTCAGGTCTGCTCTTGGCCTTAAAATAAATGCTAAGAGTCATGGTGCCTCTTAATTAAGGCATAGCTGTGGTGTGGCTTAGAAACACCACAGTTGTTAGTCACTCCACGCCCAAATAGAAATGCTTTTCAGGGGAATTTGCACTAACAAAAATATTATTTAATTATAATTATTAGTGTGTGTGTGTATGTGTGTGTGTGTGGTGTATATGTGTATAGTAGAATTTCATTCCTATGAATAATCTCTTCCTCTTTTATAAAGCATTGTGAGGAGAGCAGCCAGGTGTGGTGGTGCACGCCTTTAATCCCAGCACTCAGGAGGCAGAGGCAGAGGATCTCTGTGACATCAAGTCCTGTCTGGTCTATGTAAAGAGCTCTAGGCTAGCTGGGGCTACAAGGAGATCCTGTCTCAAAACAAAAAAACCAAAAAGTGATGAGAGGGAGAATGAGTGAATCTGGACATTTGCCCTTTCATTGATTCCTTTCCTTTAGGTGAAGGACTGTGCCTTCCATACTCAAGTCATAGATGTTAGTGAATGTTGAGTACGATGACAGGAAGTAAGTATGAGGACTGATCATTATAGAATATCAGTTGCTTTTGCCTTTGGGAAGGCAAAAGTGATGACATTTCTATCTACAGAAAGGAAAGGCTGAAGTGTTCTAAGTCTTTCAGTGGGTGAATTAACCTAGTTGGGGGACACTTTTATCACATTAAACTCTCATATACTGTAAGAATGACTTTAATAATGGGCATAATGTGGACTGATTACTTTTGAATAAACCTAGCAAAACCTTGCACTCACTCTTGGGTGTTATGACTGTGGGCATCTCCTTGGAAACCTCAGTTTGGTACTCCACTCCAAAAGATAATGAATGAATGTAGGTATGCTTGAAAATTAACATATCAAAGTGCTGCAAACAGCTCACCCTCCCATTGAAAACACTAGAGGTTGGGAAGGATGCATGACCTTGGATAAATAAAATACTAGGGATGAAAAGGCCTGATGGTCTATTGACATAAAGATGGAGCTCAACTTAAACTTGTACTTCCTCAATGAAACTGGAGAAACCATTTTGAATAGGTTATGGGTGTGGCCTGCCCAAGGGACAGAATGGGAAAAACAGGATTCCAAAGTCAGTTCCATGGGTACAGGGGTGAGGACACAGACAGCTTCAGACGCCCAGGCTGAGGGGACAAGAGAGATCCAACAACACAGTTCTGGACAACAGATGGTTGTAATAGATAGCTAGGAGAACTAGTGTCCTTCAAGTTTGGGCCCACCCTTAAAAGCTTAATTTAAGAGTTAGTCTATTTGTTCAGATGATTATGATGCTGGCGTAATATTTAATGCCGTGATGTAACCCAGTCTGTGCCGATCACTGTTGATACTTGGAATGGCCATTGAGTGAAGTATCAATAGTAGCATTATCTATGACAACAGTCTCCAACTTCCAAGCCAGCACTGGACCAAAGTGATTGCCTGTAGGGTAACCTGTGTCATTTTATGATGGCATATACAATGACAAAGTTCTTTCAAACAATGACATTGGTATCTACAGTACTGGAATGCAAACTTACTTCTCTTCATTAACTTCAAATACTTGAAATTATTTAATAAACCATCAGTAAAACCTAGTAAAATGGATATTAACTCCTAATTCCAAAGACAGGAATATGAACGTTTTCCTTCATCTATTAAAGGAAAATACAAGAGATATAAGAAATTTTATAAGTATATATGACCTCCCTCCACTCTCTCTATTTCCTTCCCTTCTTACTTCCCTCCCTTCCTTCCTTCTACTTGTGGTGGGTCCCATTCAACATCTACATTGGACTAATGTTTGTCCGCCCATCGATCCATCGATCCATCCATCCATCCATCCATCCATCCATCCATCCATCCATCTAATAATTTGTTATCTAACCAGTCAACCATTGCTCTACATTCATTGATCTGTCTATCCACTGAGTTTGATGCTTACCTTCAAGTGAGTCCAGGTCAGTTGTTTTGCAAAATATTTTTAAATTTGCATTCTTCTGATTATGATAGTTGAACCAAAAATTGAGATGGGTGTAAGAATACAGAAAAAAACCTAGTGCCTGAGATCTTCTCAGTAGTCCTCTAAAGGCACTTGTCAGTTTATCTAATTATTGGTGGTGCTCATCAGACTTAACCTTTGGCAAAATACAAGTGTCTTTTGTAATTGATACGTTGATTGGGGGAGATGATATTTTGAGACTATGTGTATATCCTGTTCCCTAGCTCTTGCACTAAATTTTCCCCTCTGGCTCTCTGTTTGACCTGCCCTCAACTCTTATCACGGTCTTGTGGTCCTAACACAGATCAACAAACTAGCATAACACACTTTATTTGAATTTTGCATGGTTTATACATTTGGGAGGTGAGGGGATGACTTACAAAGAAATGGCTCCTCATAACCCCCCACCCCACCCTGCTACACACACATGCCCACTGTTCCTGATCATTTTCATGCCTCGAGTCCACGCACCATCTTATCCCACCGGCTGCTTCGTCTCGCCCTGCTGAGCCTGCAGGATGGACAGGGCGTCCACCAGCCGTTCCTGGGCCACACACCTAGCTCCTGGAGTTCCAAAAATGGCCAGGCTAACTCCCTGTCTCCAAGGCAGCTCCACCCCTCTTCCCAGGGTGTTCCTCCTCTCGCCCCTCGCTGGTTTACTCTTTTTGGAGGAATGAGTAATGTTTGGGCTACACAAGCCATCTCAGTTGTTTAGTATTCAGTGACTAGCCTCCTCAGAATCAATTATTACAGCAGTAATGACTTCCTATTACCTTTTCTTTATTAGTTGGATTTCTTCTATAAAGATGAGCTTTCTATTCTTTCCCCTTTTGTGTACCTAATATTCCCTAAAGCACATTAAACTTGCCTCATGTAGGATTTTCAGGAAATTCTATTTTGATTGACATCAAGAAATCTTCACCACCTTGTCTGTCAGAAACACACTGGGATCCTAAATTGTATGTAGTCCTTCATGATAATAACAGCAATTCTTAACATCCTAGCTAAATGATCCCTGTAGATCTGCCTTTTTGAAGGTCCACAGATTCCTCGCCGAAGAGAATCCTGGTGGCAAGCCAGTGTCTCAAGCCCAACATCCTGCTTCCACAGTGGCACCAAGAATGATATCCCAATAGTCAGCATGTGACAAGCACCAGGAAGAATAGAGGCATCCACTTTTCTTCTTTCTCTTGTCTCATCAAGCAGAAGTGGCTCAGAGTCTTAGTGTTTTCCAAAAGACAGGAAAAACTTGTTCCAGCTTCCCATACTCCAGGGAAATGTTAAGGATCTGATTTGGGGTAGCAAGGTCTACAGGAGGTCAGAGCATCAGAAAGTCAAACACTTTGTCATGTTGAATTTCTTAAATGACTTGAAATGACAGCTGTGAGGTGTAATGCAATATGTAAAGTGTTTTATGAGTTTTGCAATCTGACTTACAAATGAACACAACTAGTTGGTAATGAGAGAAGCCAATCAGTGACATGTGCCATTTATAGCAATTACTTTCCTCAAAGCAATTAAATTGAATTTCTGATATTTCTTTTAAATTCGATTTTTCACTCAGCATTTGTGGAACATTAATTTGTCAAATTCTGTGACAGAAATGTATACTTTTTAAAATTTCATTTTTAATTAAATTCTCTTAGAGCTGATTTTTTAACTTGCCAAAGTGCCATGTATTTTCTTTGCTTAGTTTCATGCAATTTGTCTGTGTGAAGGTGTATATGTACATGTATGTGTCTATATACATATGAATTCATATATGAATATATATTCATGCATACATATTTCTTTATTCTTGTGTTTAAAATAAGACTACTTGTTCTAATCAATATGTATATGTTACTAATGCAGAATTATTATCTTGATAATAACTTTTCAATTCACCAACTGTTATGGACATTGAAATTTATTTGAAAGTGTACATCATCATTTAGCTCATTATTTTAAGGTTCCTATGCCCCTTTCTGTTCTCCGTGTTTATAAGCAAGTCCCTACACAGCCATGCTTTCCATCCTTAATCCCAATCACTCTTTTTATATGCTTGTAGGAACAACAAAGGACTACCTGGACTGGATGACGCAGAAGACAAATGTGAAAACACAATCACTGTTGAAAATGGCATCCCCTGCGATCCCTTGGACACTAAGGGAGGGCACATTAATGATGGCTTCTTGACAGAGGATGAGCGCCTCACTCCTCTCTGAGGGTCACAGATGCACCTATGTGATTGTTATGCATACTGAGAGCAGATTGTTTTGTTTCAACATTCTTTGTTTGTAAGAGATTTGTAATATGCTTCATAGGCAATGAATTACTCCCATAAAGATTACTAAAATCATAAGGTGTTGACTACTCAAAATATTCTAGAATATTTTTTGTGACAGCCATGTGTGTAA